TGTGTATGTGTATGTGTGTGTACGTATCTGTTCGAGATGCAAATATATCATAAACCTGATTTTAACAGAGCAAAACGTCGGTTCTTATAAGGTCAAATCAATTTTACACCGATCCGCAATTTTGATTAACGTACAAAAAAAGCCTTTTGAGAGCATTTATTTAATTTTCCTCAATCATTTTATCATTCAAATTATTATCATCTTTATTACTGTCAATTTTCAAAAAACAATTATTTTGTTTATCCATAAAGACAAACTGCTCATTGCTCATTGAAGTGTTGAAAGATTTAAATAATTGAATGTATTTCTTTTTTGAAAAAATTTCATTGAAAATTCAATTAACCATTAATTTTTTAATTCTGACTTATTCAATAATTTTTGTTACAAATTTGGCATTTGATACGAATGCACAAAATTAATCATCTGTCTATTTCTGTTTTTTACATTTACCCTTCAAATAAATTGTTGACAATTTATTTATCAAATTGTATCCATTCATATTTGCTGAGTAAAATTTTCGAACAAAATGTTACGATGGAAAAATTATCGATGAGCATAATTCATTTTATCGATAATGCTCGTTAGACAAAATTTTGTTATCACTGATAAATTTGAGAGCGGAAATTGAAATGTTCTTTTGAAATGTTCAAATATCGCATAAAAATTTTATTGCTTTCATTACTGTTCTTCTGTTCAATAAAATTTTCTCGCCTTTTTATTTGATTAAAGTGTAAAAATTCTTCCTTCCATCTTTTCCTTCTTGTCCAATTTTCTTTCTTTTTTTTTTTTTGAAAAAAATTCTTAGTTTTATGATTGAAGTTTACGTAGAAATTGTTGTTAATTTAGTGTTTCATTTTATGCATTCATTTATAGGACGATATTTTTGCTGTATTAGAAATCATATTTGAATCTCTTCCCGGGATAATCGAGATTTTTCAGTCTCTTCAATTGTTGGATATATTTCGTTCAATATTACAATTTAATTATACGACTATCAGCATTTTAAAGAGTTTTATTGAAATTTTTATAATGCATTATGTGCTATTCAAAAAATTACGATTATGGTTAATTAATGCAAAATTATGAATTTTACATTGTGATCCGATTTGCTCATATTTAGACCGTGCATTAAAAAGAGAATTAAAATTGTGATAGATTTCATTTCCATATTTTTGCCTCTAATTTGGAATATAAAATTTATTTATTCATCGATTTTACATGTAGCAAAATTCTTTCGCAACTTTCACGCATTTATTTCGGTTGTTTTGCTCATAATTGCTTGAAATTTGATGTCAAATTTTAATTGAAATTTAAATAATTATAGTTTCTGGCAATGAGTCGTAAGGTGACAGCTTATGGTTTTCTGTATGTTGCACCACCAAATATCGACTTCTCACAACCATCCCATTCAGCAAAGGTTCAATTTCTCATTCTTTCTTTTACAATTTTATTACTTCTTTGGAAATTTGTTTTTTTTTTCTTCGATTAAAATTATTTTCTTTTTTTTTGCATTAAACAGATCGATTTATTTGAATTATAGCATTTTTAATGACTGAAAATAATTCACTTCTTTTTGCAATATTTCATATTGAATGATACGAAATAATACACATTTTTGATGATATTTTGTTTTTCAAAACAAAAAACAATTTTAATGTAAATTTTTTTAATTTACAGAGATGGCAACGACGATGTTTTACATTATATGAAGATGGTGAACTAAGTTATGCATTAGATGATGATGTTAGCAGTTTTTTTTTATAATGTTTTTAATTTTTTTTAATCTAAAATTTTCAAAATTTATTTTTTCATGTATAATTATTTCCCATTTAAAATTTTTATTCAAATTAATTTACTTAGCTGTTTGTTTACCTCGCTTATTTTAACCAATATCATTTGCATTTCATTATTCACCTTAATTTAGATTTTCATTCAAATTAATTTTTCAGCCCGAAACAGTTCCACAAGTTAAAATGGATATGAATCGATGTGTACGGGTTTGTGAAGCAGATGTAATAACGGGTCATTCACATAGTATTCTTGTTGCATTCCGGAATGATTCCTCAAATTCCGGTATTGCCGGTACTTGCGAGGATGCGGAAAAGGATACGGATGCTGCTGCAACTATCAATCAGCATGTGCCAA